CGAGGATTGAAGGTCGTTTCGGCTGTTGTATGTTCATAGCATGGGGCACGTAGCAGACTAAAGCAGTCTCGACTTATTTTCCAAGAGCTAAAGAGGGAGAAGGAAACAGTGCAGCCCTCTTCAGGCTAGGTTGTGTATTTTAAGTAGCGTTCTTTCAGTGAAAACCGAAAGTCGCCTAATTAGCATGCGAATCGTTAGACCATTGCTGCTAGAATGAGAGGCCCTTGGAATGTTAGGCCATAGATGCGTTCTTGTCGTACGTAAATTATGTGATGCAGCTACCCAGTTTTTCAGAAAGTTAAAAACGTGGATGTTTAGGAACGGTACGAACGGCGTACAACGGTAGACTACTGCAGAGGAGAAATCGACGGCATCGAGAAGAGCAAGACAGAAGAGGGAAAGACTTTGTAGGTTCTACGGAAAGTCAACAAATATTGTTAATTTTTTCACTAGTTGCCCGTAGACTACGAATACCTTCGAATTTTCTATTAAAAATTCGAAATCTCGTTAATCTAGGTGTTCCTAATTCCGGTGCCGCTGGGGCTATTTCAGAGCCATTGGAGGGGTGTCACCGCCAAACACCGTACGGAATACTGCACAGGAACATAGATTCCTGTAAATTGATATCAGGGTAAGTTTGGAACAAGCAAAATCGACTATACGCAGGTCTTTCCGAGATGAGAAATTTAATGAAAGATTGCCTTCCCAAACGGCATATCTGCTCAATAAATTTTCACAGTGAGACAGGTGCTTAAACAACTCCTAGTCATAGAGGTTACAACAGTACTGATGTCAATACTATTATGGACAATTACTAAGGGTTAGTGGCTGCAAATCGTGCATGACATAATTCCCATACCGAATTTGGTGTATTATGATAACCGTCTCTATCGAATAAACTTTCAGAGGTTGAACCGCGTCCCAACGGGGCCACATCCTGGTCAAAAGGGTTCTTCGACATCGAACCTATAGGGAAATAGGAAGATTGAGCCGTCCGCCCTTATAGACTAAGGGTTCAAAGAAACGACCAGGATTCCGAACCTGTCGAGTTTTATCGGAGGCTCTATGAATTCTATTTCCTGGAAAATTTGCACGATTCTTGCAGTGGCTTCTTTAGGAACTTAACTCAGCAACTAGTAGAAAACTGTTGCCCGCTTAAGAAAAGACTGCTCACCTCCCGGCCGGAATGGGTGATACCGATCATAAAAAGGAACTCCAAGAAGAAAAGAAGACTGTGGAAAAAATAT